CAGCCTTCTGCTCTGAAAATGGACAAGCCCATCTGAGATACCATCGTGCTGCCCTGTATCTCCTTCAGACAGACAACGGTGCCTCTCTCCAGGACACAGGCGGGGAGGCCTCTGTGTCCTCGTACCTGGACATCACCACCTGGCCCAAACCTTGTCCTTCTGTACAACCTAAGGAGACATCAAGTCCTTTTCTTTGAGTCTTTTATTTCCTAAATCCCAGACATTATGAGGTTACAACATAAGTTTCAGGGAGTAGCCCCTTCCTGCCCTGTCACCAAAATTTAATGAGCACTTACTATGTGTTCGGTATCATTCTAGGTGTTGGAAATAGAAATAATAAACAGAGAAGGCAATGTTCTCTCCTTCTTGGAGCTTATAGTCTATGGAGAAAGAGATTGAATAAGTAAGTTAAATGAGTAGAACGTAAAGCAGATGATAAAAGCTATGGAGGCAGGTAGAACAGGGAGGTGGGCGGTTGACCTCACAGACTGGGGAATGTGTGAAGGAGGGGGAGGGAGCACTGTGCGTCTCTAGGGAAAAGCATCCCACCCGGGGAATGGACAAGGTGTAGGGGTGAAGTCAGTGAGGTCACAGTACAGGATGTGCAGGCCTTGGGGACCACAGGAAGTACATTGGCTTTACTCTAAGATGGGAGGTTGGGGGCAAAGGAGGATATGGCTCTGGTGCCACCTCCTTCTTTATTAAAAGAATTTAAACTAACATGTAATGGTGTGTATTTATGGGATACAGTGTGATATTTCAATTATTCCACCATGTGCAATACTCAGAGCAGGGTAATCTGCTCACATATATTTTTTTTTAATTTCCTTATAGTGAGAGCATCTGCAACCCTCTCTTCCAGCGAGGTTGAAATACACAGGGCATTGTTCTTCAGGACCTTCACCGTACCAGGCAAAGGAACACCAGAACTTTGTGCATGTCACTGACCTCCCCCATCCTTGGTAACCAAAACCAAAACCAATGACGATGTGCTGCAGTTTTGAGGACAGACTTAGCATTGGACAAGGGGCACGTGGCCCCTAATGGAAGGGTGGAGGCTCCACCAGGGATAGGCAGTGGTGGTGGGGGTGGGGGGAGAAGTGGCTGGGTTCTGGGTTTCATCTGAAGAATTTCCTCTTGGATAGATATAGCGGGTGTGAGATACCCAAAGGGACATAAGAGAGTATGTTCATTTCCCATGGCTGAGGTAACAAAGTGCCTTAAATTGCGTGGCTCATTACAGAAGTGTATTCTCTGACAGCTCAGGTGGCTGGAAATCTGAGATCCAGGTGTCAGCGAGGACAGTTCCCTCTGGAAGGCCACATGTTCTGGCCTCTCTGGCTCCTGGGGGTTCTGCCAGTGCTTAGCATCCCTTGGCTTGTAGATGCACCACTCCAATCTCTGTTTCCATGGTTACCCTGCAACCTTAGAGTTGGTCTCTATGGTTACATAGCTCTTCTCCCTACCCATGAATCTGGATCTGAACACATTTCTCTCTTAAGGACTCTGGTCATTGGAGAAGGGCCCACCCCAGTCTGGAATGAACTCAACCTAACTTGGCTAAGGCCATTTTTCCATACAAGGTCATATATACTGGTTCCAGGTGGACATGGATTTGGCAGGGACACTGTTCAAAGCAGTCCATGTGTGTTTGTCTACATTTTCATGGAAATGCATTTTAATCATATCAGGCTTGAGAATTCTCCCAAGATGCCCCATCTTGTCCAGGGGGTTGAGAGGGGACTCTACTGAGCCTTTGCAAGGCTCCTAAAAGAAAGATTTTTATTTATTTATTTATTTTTGTATCAGGGATTGAACCCAGCAGTGCTTAGCCACGGAGCCACATCCCTAGCCCCTTTTTATTTTTTATTTATTTTTATTTTGAGACAGGTTTTCACTAAGTTGATTAGGGCCTGGCTAAGTTGCTGAGGCTGGCTTTGAACTTGCAATCCTCCTGCCTCAGCCTCCCAAACCATTGGGATTACGGAGGTGTGCCAACACACCTGGCGGAAAATATGATTTTTATTAGTTTGGGCAAAATTGTATCAATTGGGGCTGGACATGGAGCTCAGTGGTTACCATGTTCATGTCCTGGGTGCCACATCCAGCACTGAAGAAAAAATAAAAATCAATGGATACGCTCTTGATGGAACTTGGTCGTGGGAACTCAGTCTCTCTCATCAGAGATAAATCAGGTCCCTCCTGGGACTGCAGGGTGATAGGAATAGATGCTCCAGTCCCTCCTGTCCTCCAGGCCTGTCATCCGGGGGTGTGGTGTGGGAGGAGAGCTGATATAGGATTGTAATTCTGCTAATGAGGACATGGGGGGGGTGTGGCGGGGAGAGGCTGATGTGCTAGACAGGGGCCACAGGCCTGCCAGAGCAGGGCCAGGGGCTGCTCAGGAGATATGCATTGAACCTCCCCCATGATGCCCTACTCTTGCAACCCTGCCCCCTGCCCAGAGAAAAGCTCCCAGAGTGTATGAACAAACTGGGGGGGCACCGTGAAAGACCTGCCTTGCCCAGGGCAGAGAGGGACCTTCAGCATTCAGCTCTGCCTGCCTAGACAAGGAGACCCCCACCGCCACCCAGGGCCTCGGCAGCCCCGAATTTTGCAAACCAAACACCTTCCTACTGAATCCTTTCACAGCTGTGAGCATCTCAGGTTGGCCAAGTGACCTTTCTTTCGACCGTGTTCATTTTCCACCAATGGCTCCCTCTAGCTAACCTTTTTATGGGGTTGATAATTTGTTTTAAAATCAATAATAAAAATAAAACACCTGTGTGATTTTGTGCAGAGATGTAACTTCCTTTTTAGTAGGAGCAGCCCCCCCTTAAATCCCTGAGAGGAGTTTGCTTTCTCTTATTCTGGGTTCTCGGAAACAGGTGCAGGGTACGGAGGAGCTACCGACTGTCCTAGCAGGGAGTTGTTCTGAAATGACACCTGGCTCTTGTCTATCATAAATACTTTAAAATAAGTCAAGGATCCCTGCTTGGGGCTCGGGGGAAGGGTGGTGTGGCAGCACCTCCCTTAAATACCAATGATGCTGCCTGGCCTGGTGGGGCACTCCGATAATCCCAGCAGCTGGGGAGGCTGAGGCAGGAGGATCTCGAGTTCAAAGCCAGCCTCAGCAACTTAGTGAGGTCCTAAGCAACTCAGCGAGACCCTGTCTCTAAATAAAATATAAAAAAGGATGGGGATGTGGCTCAGTGGTCAGGCACCCCTGGGTTCAATCCCTGGTACCAAAACAAATAAATAAATTTGAAAAAATGATGCTGAAGGTGGGAAAATTCCAGGTGACTCTGCTCATTCATGGTGGTACACAAGTGGGACAAAGGACAGTCCTCCATCCTCAGGGGCCACTCCCACCCATGTCAAATTATTTGGAGCTTGGGGCTGTTGGCTGGTGGGAGACGAGGCAGTTGAGGGAAAGTTCCAAACCTCTTACAGAAGGAACAAAGCAAAGGAAGCATCTAGACTCAGATCTCTGCAGCTATACGTATGGTTTGAGGACCAGCAGCATCAGTAGCACCCAAGGACTTCCTGTTAATGCAGAACCCCAGGTCCCACTCCAAAGCTCTTCAATGCAACTGTCACTGAACAAGAGCTCCCGCAATTAACTATGAACATCCCAACTGACAGCATCACAGAGACCAGAGGTTCTGACACTTGCCCATGCTATGCAGTCCCCGGGGCTTATGAAAACAGGGGACAGCTCCCCTTCCTAGGTCCCGATTCAGGTGTGCAGTGATGCCCAGAGATCTGGGTTTCTAGCCACTTCCCAGGGGTGGCCTAAATTCCCTCTCAGACTCTAGCATCCACCTGGGATCTTAGACCGGACTGTGTCACCAGAGGACATGGACCCCCCCTCCAGGGATCCTAATGAGCTCCAGTCATTGCCCATCGCCACAGAACGGAATGGGATGTCCCACTGGATCTGAGTACCCCCCTGGCCATTTGCAAGGCCCCAACATCCACGCATGAAAAAGAGATTCTGCCACACCCGGTGTGCTTGGCGATATTCAGAGCACTTAAGCTTTATTTGGGGATGATGGCAGTGTTTCATGGGAATGAGCTGCACGACATTGTGAATGCTATTTTCAGCATGGAAGTCTGAGAGCAAACGGTCACAGCAACAGAGCCTTACCCCCACGGTCCTGCCCTTCTCTCCCCAACAGGTGCAGGCTGCCCCTGGCACACCTGGACGGTTGCACCTGGGCCTGATCATCATCTCCCTGGGTACCTGTTCTGTGTCCCCCAGGTCACTAGGCTAGAGGGGAGGAGAGGGGGGCTGTAACCCTCCCATTTCTTCCTTCTCAAGGTCACCTTGGGAGCAGCTGGATAGGCAAAGTGCACCCTCTCCAGACACACACTGGGAACCCAAGTCCCCACTGGCTCCATTCTCTCCTTTTGCTGCAAGGTTTTCCCTCAATGGACATTGAACTTATGGGTCTCAATAAAAGAAGGTGAATTTATAAATCATTCTGTGCTCCGGAAGTGTTCTTCTTTCTCCTACTCCATCCCCAGCAAGAAAGTCAGGGTAACATGGCCTCATAATGGGATCAGGGAGCTTCAGAGACACAGCACAAATGGAGAGGCCAGACCCAGGAGCTACAAGGGCTGAGTGGGGGGGTTCAAATTTCACCTGGGTTCCAGTTCTAGTTCAGGTGCTTCCCAGCAGTGGAACAAATAAATAGAGAGCAAATTATTTGTGATGCCCATGTGACACGTATCTCTCTCTGTGTGTGTATTACTCTCCGCGATTGTACCCAGCTATGATCTTTCACTGTGTATCCTAAGTCACCTGAGACCTCCTTCCTAGCCCTCTGGCATCAGCCGGGCTGCCCTGGGAAGGGAAGCATGAATTCCTGAAAGAAGGTAGATGTACCAACATGAGAGGAATGGGTGAGTGGTAACCAGATCCACCTGGGAAAGTCAAAAGGGAACATGCCAAGTGTTAAGAGTCCCGCTTGGCAGAGGGTTGGTGGGGTGACTAGAGCTATGGCAGTAGCTGGACTGTACAGATGGGAGAGTGGCTGGGGGTTGGGTAACTGAGAGGGGCTTGCAGCAATAGCTGGACTATACAGATGGGATGGCTGGCCTGGGCAAACTGCCCCCCACACATGAACTCCTCCTGCTCTGTGATGCACACCACTCTCCTTGAAGTTCCCAGTTGGCAATCGGTCAACACTGAGTCAGGATAGGCAGGGGACGCTCACACAGTGTAAGTTTTGACAGACTTGTAGAGGGGTGGGAGCAGACCGTTGTTCTCTCGGACAATTTCCAGGTACTCAGATGGAGTCTCCAGCAAGAAGGGCCCACAGCACATCTGGCAGCAGCACCTGACCCCAGAGGGCGGCTCCGGGTTCTTGTCAGACATGGGGGAAAAGTCAAAATCAGCCACCTATAGTGAACAAAACCCCACGGGTCAATCACCACCCACTGGGAGTCCCTAGGTGGCCTTAAAAGCTCAGCAGCCTAGCGGCAATGTGCACAGACATGCTCGTCTGGCACTACATATACTGTGCAAAGGGTGGGCATAGAAGGAGGTAAGTCAGGTGGGACACCAACTCACCAATTTTGCCCAATCTGTAGATACCTCTTTGGCACATCATCCCAAACCCCAGGGCCTTGTTCTAATATCAGAACCCCCTCCAGGCATCCTACTGGCTCCCCAGGCCCACTCCAGAGATCCTTCCCAGGCAGGGGCTAATGGTTCAGCTTATAGTCTACTGAGCACCCACCTCCACCATGTCCTTCTGCTGAGTGGCATTTCGCAGGGTCATGTACATGATGAAGGCCAGCATCACAGTGATAAGTGTGGCACATGGGAATGCAAAGACAGCCGGCTGGATGCCTGGGAGTGAGACAGCACAAGTTATGGGGCTGGGTAGCTGCTGCTGAAATGGTAGTTCTCTCATAACGCGGAGAGGAGCTGACCTCCAACAGTGATCTTACGTACACATATCCCAACTACACAACCTCAACGAGCAAATCTAAGACATGATAAAAAAACATATTGAGATGCATGGAGGTTTTAAAATATGCCCACAAGTTATTCAGGTCACTTCTGAGAGGGTAACATAGATTCCCCATCCTTGAGTGTTGGGCTGGACTCAGGGACCGGCTCCTAGTGTACAGCCAAGGACAGAATGCAGCACATGACTCCCAAGTCTGAGCCATAAGAGACATCACCACTTCCTCCTTGATCTCCTGGGTGACTTGCTTGGGGGAAGGGGCACCATGTTGTGGGAACCTCTAAGCAGCATTGTGACCTCTGCTGCAAACTGTCCCATCTGGAAGTACTGGGTTTACCCACCAAGTCTATTGCTGGGAAGCAGATGGCAGAGTAGAAAGAACCCAGTGTCTGCAGAGGTAGTCTTGGGTTTGATTCCTGGCTCTACCCAGGATACCTGACACTAATGCTCATTGCTGAGGCTGCCACAGTGAGGATGTAGCAATGTAAGAAGCAAGGATGTGCCTAGCACACAGTAGGTCATCAGGAAGTGCGGGTTCCCTCTCACTCTTCCCCCACCCTGCCATGAGGCTCTGTTTTCCAGGAAAATATGGCGTGATTTCCTATACCACCATCTTCTCCACAGAACTTAGGGGAGCACCCAGAGGTGACTGCAGGCAGCAGGGCCCAAGGCACCCAGTGAGGCCCACAGGTCAGCCAGGGCCTGGAGTTGAGCACTACATCTTCTCAGGGATTCAGGGGGTCCTGGGGAGGTTGGAGCAGGCAGTGACAGTGTTGAATAGACCTACAAGGCCAGCCTTGGGGACAGGCATAGCTGGCAGAGTTTGGAACGAGCTCAGAAGCCCCGAGACAGACTCCTACCCCCACAGAAGAGTACTGGAGCAAGAGTCTGGATACCTGTGTTCAGATTCACACTGAGCTCCAGATCTGGTTTCCCTTTTGTAGTATTGACAATGGAACCAGGTGGGCATCTGAAAACCGCCCCTCAGGTCCTAGAATCCTACTGTCCCCTCTGTGTAAGGATGTACTTTCCTGAGGTCCCAGAGTTCTCAACCACACTTGGCACTTTCTGGGTCACTCATACTCCCTGGAAGATACCACAGCCCTGAGTGCTGGGCAAAGTCACTGTGGGGGATGCTCATTTTAGTGGTGGCAATAGCACCAGGGCAGGGGGTGGGGGAGAAGGAGGGAACATTGGGATGGTGGGGGTCCACTTAGTGCAGGAGCGTTCATGTCAGGGACACCTGTGGTTGGTAACCTGTGGGAGGGGTGTTGACAATGGTGGTGATGAGAGTTGACATTGAGGGGTCCTGGATGGCCCAGTAGAAATGGTCTTGGTCCAGTGGTCAGTGGTGAAACACCATGCAGACTGGTGTTCACCGAAGTGGGTGGGGCAGAGATGCCTGAGGCAATCTGGTGGGAATACTGATGGGGTTGTTCCTATGATGATGATGACAGTACTGGAAGAATTGTTAGGCGTGTGTGTAATGGTGGCAGTTGGCTTGGTTTGTTTAGTGGTGCAGGTGTTGACGGTGGTACTGGTAGATGGATGGGTGCTGGTACTGAGATTGGTAGAGTTGGTTGCTGAGGGTAGAGTGGTAGTGCTGGTATTGGCCATGTTGGTCAACAAGGGTGTGGTTGGTTGTTGATGACCTTGGCAAGGTCAGCCTGTAGCTGCAGCAGGAGATGAGGGGTCACTTACTGGAGGGCCACACCTGGATCCTGTGATACTGATGTGTCTTGCTGATGACATTCTCAGCCCGGATGCTGAAGCAGTAGTCCCCAGGATCGCGGAAGGTGTGGGTCAGGTTGTAAGCTGTGCTGGCCACAGACACGGGGTGGCACTCTCCTTCCTCCAGGGGCAGGCACTCGGGCTTGAGCCGCCAGCACATGGTCAGAGGTGGGCTGCAAGGGAAGGGGACAGGTTTTGAGATAAGGATCAGCAAAGAAGGAGCACAGACCAAGTCCAAGAAAAACCAGGTGGGCATGAACTTCAATGTCCTTTCCAGGACAGGACGCCAAGCCATCCTGGTCCCAACATCCCATATTCCACACCAGGGGGGCACGATAATGCAGAAGCCATGGACCCCCAGGGGGATTCAGGCTAATGGGGCTGAGACCTGCACCGAATGCTAAGTGAGGCAGAACCGGGCATGCTCCGGAAGCACAGTGGCACGGGAAGCTTGTTTCCAAAGCACAGGGGGAGCACCACGTTCTGAACTAGGAGGTCAGGGGAGACTTCCTGGAGGAGGTGGTGTTTAAGCAGGATCTAAGGCATAGCAGGCCTTTGAATAGGATGTGACCAGTCTGCTTTATCTGCATAGCACCGTCTCTGACACTAGAGAACGCAAGCCTATTGGAGAAATGTCAAAAGAACATTCCCGGCTCACACACGGAGGCCCTGAGGAAAGCACACTCACAGCCCCTCAAAGGTCAGGGCTGCCCAGTGACTGGGGAGGCTGAGGCAGGAGGATCGCATATTTAAGGCCAGCCTCAGAAACTGAGCAAGGCCCTGTCTCAAATTTTTTTTAAATGGGGGAGTGGCTAAAGATGTAGCTGAGTGGTAAAAGCACCCTTGGCTTTGATCCCCAGTACTAAAAAAAAAAAAAAAAGGCTGCCAAATGCCAACCTCAATGGCTTCCTACTCTCTGTACTTTGCTCACTCTGCCTGGCCTGGCATACCTCTGATATGTCCCCGTGTGGGCACAAGAGTGCTCGGAGGGCTGAGTCCTGATCACTGACCTCTGCCATTCTCTCTCACTCAGTGGCCCTAGGGCAGCTTTGTGGAGAACACACACTCAACATCTCCACATCTCCTCACTTTCTACAGCCTCAGCCTTGTTCTGCTCTGGCCAAGAGCCCTGCTGGGTCCCCTGAGGGGGCTTGCTCGGGACACATTGCTGGGATGATCTACTTCCGTTTCCGGTCCCCCCTTGTCGCTGCTGCAGACAAACAGCGGGAAGTAACAGCTCTCTTATGCACTCTCCCAACAGCTTCCAGAACAGAGCCTGGTGCAAAGCAGACTCCGCCCACGTCTGCTGGCTGGTGCAAGATCCCTGAGGCCAGAGGGTGCAGCAGGCTTTCTGGGAGTCTGTTGCTCATTCCTAGAACTCCAAGAAAGGAGCTGTGCCCACAGCTGTCCCCAGAGCACAGCTAAGGGGCAGAATGGAACCATCCTTCCATAAGCCCTCAGACTTGGGGCCTTCAGGGGATGGAGCCTCTGTCAAAGTGCAAAAGGGTCACAGGGCACTGGCAGTGCACTCTAGGGTTCACTCACCTCCCCAGGAAGTTCAAGGTCACTGTCATCTTTTGGAAGGTCTGAATTATGGTGGGCCCCAAAACCTGGATGCCTCGAAGGGTTTCTGTAAGGAAAGAGGACCCCGTTAGACTCAAAAGCTGAGCACTACTGTCAAGGAGCTCCCAGACCCACCCTCTCCTCTCCTCTGTGTCCCAAGGGAGGGTCACAGGTCTGTCCAGGACACCTCCCCTGTCAGCAATAGGTGCTGAGGCCAGCTCGGAGACAGGAATTCAGAGAAGCAGGCGCAGGCCAGCTCTCCTGCTCACTGCCACCGAACTGTCACTTGTGCTGTGGGAAAAGCACCATCCAAAACCAAGAAATCGACTGGAAGTCAATGTGATCAGGCAACAGGGAGCAGAGGGGATCTTCCAGCTCTCAGCAGACGTCTGATCACAATCAGGCTCCGGGAGCAGGAAGACCTGGGCTCAAATGCCAGCCCTGCCACTGAGCAGCCTCAGAACCCCAAATGCAGCCTTGGGTGCCCTCGCCTAAGCGGGGGATACCAGTGGAGACTGCTCAGGGGGTGTAGGGCATGAGGAGGCGCGATGTGCATCCAAGCTCAGGCCAGCGACAGCGAGGGTCACTGTGATCAGGAAGGCAGCGGAGTCCAGGGCTCCTCGGGGACCTACCCTGCAGCTTCAGTGAGGCAGAGAAGTCACCGGTCTTCTGCACAATGCCGTTGGTGGCGTCTGGCTTTGCCTGCTCCCACTCGGCCACCACCTTGAGCTTCACAGTGAAGGTTCCAATAATCGAATAGTTATAATAGACCACGGAGTCTTCGGTCACCATCTGGGTCCTGGAAGAACAGGGAGGAGAGAGGAAGAAGATGGAGGGTCTTTTCCCCTTCCTATAACTCAGAGGAGATTCGTGGGCTTGTCAGAGTGGGGGCAGCCGACGGTGACATGTAACTACTGATGAGGACACCGGTCATCCCAGCAGCAGCCCCTTACTCCTCCACCCCCAGCCAGCCAGGGCATGAGGTCCGCTGGCCCATTTCACAGATATAGAAACTGAGGCCAGGGAGGACAGGAGAGGTCCCACCTCGCTTCCATTCCTCTGTGTAGGGCTCTTATGTGAATGAAAGGCCGTGTGTCCTCCAAGAAGTAAACGGGGGACAGACACTTGGCCTCATGCTGCACGGGGACAGCTGTTGGGACCTCAACACTTCCACCCGCCAACCACATGAAACCTTCACCAATGAAACCCCAACTAGAAGCCCGACCCCCGATGTCCAACTGCAGATCCCTTTTCCTGCCAAGGGCCAGGAAATCCACAGTCCAAGTTTCACCACTCGGTACCGTGTCCGTGTTGATTCTAGCAACTCCTGTTCCAGTTTACTGAGATCACACAGAACGTCCAATCCTGCTCCTTCTAACACTTCTTTGATGTCTAAAGAGATGATCCCATAATCTCTCCCCTTTGACATATTAAAATGATGAACTAAAATAATACAGTTCCTTTTTTAGTACTGTTGACTTTGATGCTTCTCAAACTAGGTTGTACAAAAGATAACATAACCTTGGGCCATAGTTACTTTTTTTTTTTTTGTATCGGGGATTGAACTCAGGGGCAATTGACCACTGAGCCACATCCCCAGCCCTAGTTTGTATTTTATTTAGACACAGGGTCTCCCTGAGTTGCTTAGAGCCTTGCCGTTACTGAGGCTGGCTTTCAACTTGCGATCTGCCTGCCTCAGCCTCCCAAGCCACTGGGATTACAGGCATGCGCCACCGGGCCTGGCATGGATTTTTTAAATAAATTTATTTATTTATTTATTTTAGTTATAGATGGATACAATACCTTCATTTTATTTATTCATTTTTATGTGGTGCTGAGGATCGAACCCAGTGCCTCACACACACTAGGCAAGCACTCTACCACTGAGCTACAACTGCAGCCCCCATAGTTATGTTTTTTTTTTTAAACATTTATTTTTTTAGGTGTAGATGGACATAATACAATGCCTTTATTTTCATGTGGTGTTGAGGATTGAACCCAGGTCCCACCCGTGCTAGGCGAGCGCTCTACCGCTGAGCCACAATCCCAGCCCCCAGAGTTATATTTTGATTAAAGGAAATACAGATAGAGCCAGGCACAGTGGGGCATGCCTGTAACCCTAGCAGTATGGGAGGCTGAAGCAGTAGGATTGCAAGTTCAAGACCAGCCTCAGAAACAGCAAGACCCAGGGCCAGGGCTGTGGCTCAGTGGTAAAGCGCTTGCCTAGCATGCGTGAGGCACTGGGTTTGATTCTTAGCACCCCAAAAAAATAAACAAATAAAATAAAGGTATTCTGTACATCTACAACTAAAAAAATTTTTTTTAAAAAGAAAGAAAGAAACTTAGTAAGATCCTAAGCAACTTAGCAAGATCCTGTCTCAAAAAATAAAAAGGTCTGGGGATGTGGCTCAGTGGTTAAGCGCCCCTGGGTTCAATCACCAGTACCAAAAGGAAAAAGAAATACAGATACATTATGGGGTAGAGTATACACTGGGCAACTGTTTTCACATGAAATCTACAGCTTGGAAGGAGAGGTGACTCTTGGGCTGGACCTCTGTAAGGGTCTGAAGACTGCTGTCTCTTTCCTCTGAAGATAAAAGGATTTGGTGACAATTTCAGACATGCATGACTCTTGTTGACTCTGGTGTATTATTAATTTAATGAAGTGATGTAAGATCAAAAAAAAAATGGCATGTAGTTTCCTAGTTTGAGCTGTGTTAGTTTTGTAGACTAAATCAGGAGAGTCTCTATCTTGGTTTCTGCTCTGGAGGAATTTATATCATAACAGGATATTTAATGGATCTTTGAAAGCCTAAAATACCTTGCTAATAAAGTCACCTGACTTGTTGGTTCTTAGAGATAACTCTTCAAGTCATTCTAGTAATTTACATTTTCCTAGGATATCATTCCATTCACTATCATTTAAAAATAGATTAGCATGGAGTTTTGAATTAAACAAAATAATACCTTACACTTTAAAAAAATAGTATTACTATACCCATAGTGATCGCTACTTTCAAATCCTTGATAGGATTTTAAATTCGTGTGTAAATGCACACTTTCTCCTTTCAATAAATTAATAATAGCTGGAGATCTCCACACTTTATTTTCTCTGCCCCATCTTTTGCAAAAAAAAAAAAAATTTTTTTTGAATTTATCAATTCTGGTTTTCTACTTGTAATTTACCTTTTTTATTTTGATAAATGTCAATTCTTTCACTTTTTGTATATTTTTTTCCCTTCTAAGTCCATGAGTTGAATTTTTTTAATCTTCATTTTTCCTTAAAAATAATCATGAAAACACTTAAGACTATGCATTTGCCTCTGTTTACAGCCTTGAAACAGATATTCTCTTAGGTTTGTATGCACAATGTTCCCCTCCTCACTATTTTCTAATATTATCTCATCACAGTTTCTTTCAACCTAAAAGGTTTCTGTTGTTGTTGTTGATAGTGATGATGCTAAGATCAAAACAGAGCCCTCCCTGAACATGCTAAGCACATGATCTACTACTGAGCTAAACTTCCAATCCCCAAGAATCGTGTTTTAAAATGTCGAATTGGTGGGGTATCTTTGTTTGCCTGAGGGTCCTTCTGGATAGTCTAACGATACTGAGTGGTGAAACTTGGACTGTGGATTTCCTGGCCCTTGGCAGGAAAAGGGATCTGCAGTTGGACATTGGGGGTCGGGTTTCTAGTTGGAGTTTCATTGGTGAAGGCTTCATGTGGTTGGCAGATAGAAGTGCTCAGGTCCCGCCAGCTGTCCCTGCGCAGCATGAGGCCAAGTGTCTGTCCCCCATTTCCTTCTTGGAGTACACACGGCCTTTCATTCACATCAGAGCCCTACCCAGAGGAATGGAGGTGAGTTGGGACTTCTCCTGCCCTCCCTGGCCTCAGTTTCTGTATCTGTGAAATGGGCCAGCTGACCTCAAGCCCTGGCTGAGGCACATTTAGGGTGACCTCAAGCCCTTGAGGCACAATGAGGGCTGTAGACACATTTAGGGTGGAGGCTTTGAGTCACATGGTATCACTTGACATGGAGCTTGAGGTCAATCACATGGGTAGTCAGTCATTCCTATGCAACAGAGCCCTGTTATGGAATAAACTGTGTCCCCTCTAAATTCATATGCTACAGCTCTAGCCCCCAGTATGACTATATCTAGAGATAGAGCCTTTAAAGAGGTAATTATGGTTAAATGGAATCACAGGGTGAGACCATAATCCCATATTAAACCATACCTATGAGTCTAATAGCTCATGATGAAATCTAATATTAAACCATTATTCTGAGACCAATAGGTCATGTGAAACTTTCTGGGCAATTATCCAACCTTAGCATGGTCTTGGGAACCCTCCATCATCAAACCTACAATTGGTGTCAGAGGTTGTATTAGTCAGTGTTCTGTTACTGTATCAAATAATATCAGAGATGATCAGCTTATAAAGAGAAAAGATTCCTCTTGGCTCACAAGCATGACTGGTTGGCCCCACTGCTTTGGGCCCGTGGCAGCCCAGTACATCATGGAGGGAGCACACAGCAGAAAAGGCCCATTTGACTCATGATGGGGTGAAAAGAGAAGAAGGGGCAGGATCCCATGGTCTCCTTCAAGGACATGCCCCTGATTACCTAAGACCTCCCACTAGGCTCCACCTTTTAAAGGTTCCACCACCTCCCAACAGCACATGCTGGGGACCTTTGAGGGACATATCAGACTCAAACTCTAGCAAAAGAGACGATGTTCCTGCAGAGGGCGGTGCTCCCTCCAGCTGAGCAAGTCAGTCTCAGAAGTGAGGGCAGCCTTGCGGATGATGATTCCTTCTAATTTTAGAGTTCACTAACCTCCAAGCTGGTCTACAACTTTTTGTGCATTAGGTTTGTGAGCAAAAAAAAAAAAATTTTTTTGTGAACTTCTGGTCTGTACTGTGATTGGAACACGAAGCTTATACATTTTATTTTAGGGGATGTTTGGCATTTTAGGCTCTAGAATGTGATTTTATTTTACATATTTGTAAATACTCATACATTATTTTGTTTTTAGGTCCAAAGTTCTGCATAGAAACAAACAATATTTTTTTTCATTCAAACAGTGTTATGAAAACCCTCTGTTGCTACCTCAGTTGTCTCTGAAATATCAAAGTCAGAGTGTGGAATATTAAAATCTATGGTGTGTGTGTGTGTGTGTGTGTGTGTGTGTGTGTGTGTTTTCCTTTATTCTCCTCTTTCTGGGTAATTTCCCCAACAGGACCTTCTTTCTTATATATTTTGATGCTGCAATACTCCCAGAATAAATTTTCAGGGAAGACACTACAGACCTGAGCCTTTGCAAAATATATAAAGAAGGCCCTATTTAGTCTTGGAGCCCATCAGAATCAAATGAAGAAAAATCCTACCTACCTTGACCTTCCTTAAGGGCTGTGCTGGGCACAGATGGCCCCCCTCTATTGGGCTGCAACATGTCAAAGGCAGGACCAGCAACCAGTTCATGAACATCCCTGGGACCCGAGGCCCGACACAGAGCAGGTGCTCAAGAAAGGTTTGGTGGATGAGTAAGGAGCATTCTGCACAGGAGGGATAGCAGGGCAGGCACTAAGGGACCCCGGCTACCACCCATGCCTTTGGGACATTAAAGAGGCTACATCAAGACTTACCCATCTCCGAAGTCCCAGCTGTAGAGAAAGGAGGCTGTCTTGAAGAAGTTGCTTGGGTCATGAAGGAGGAAGGAGACTTTAAGAACTGTCTTGGTGAGGTAGGAGCTGGGCCAGGGCAGGGAGGTGTTCTGGGCAACCACGATGTTCCCCATGAGGAACTCTGGGAGAAACAGAGGAAAGGTGAGTCCATAGAGGGACTGGGAAAGAGGAGACTGGGAGCTGCTCATGGTTAGCAAGCAAGGCAGCCTCTCCCTACCTGGACCTTCTGGCTTTCAGAGCTGGGCGGGAAGAGGGGACCTCACAGGTCCCTGAACACACAGGCATCCACGTCATCCCCCTGATGTATGGATACTCACAATATATGCTACATACATAGTTTGCACTCCTGTTTCCCTTTCACCAGGACCCTGAACTTCCTGGCACAAAAGATGCCCGGGAAGTTCAGGCTTTGAAAGAAACTTTGGGGAAATATAGTCAGCTGTCTGTATCCAGGGGTTCTGCATCCACAGGTTTAACCAACTCTGGTAGAAAAATACTGGGGGGAAAAATGCATCATTACTGATGGATGGCATTTTTCTTTCCTTTGCATTATTCTTTAAACAATACAGACTCACACTTCATAGCATTTACATTGTTCTGGGTATTATAAGTCATCTAGAGACGACTTAAAGTATACAGGAGAATGTGTGTGGTTTGTGTGCAGATACCAACTATATTATATAAGGGGCTTGAGCACCTACAGATTTTGGTAGCCATGGGCATTCTGGAACAAATTCCCCCAAAGATACTGGAGGGAAAATGCATTTCAAAATGTTAGATGAAATTAGAAAAATGCATAATTCTACAGATTGCATCTCCATACCTAAGGTGCTGGGCCTGTAACCCCAGCAGTTTGGGAGGCTGAGGAAGGAGAATAAAGTGTTCAAAGCCAGAGTCAGCAACAACAAGGAGCTAAGCAACTCAGTAGGACCTTGTCTCTAAATAAAATACAAAATAGGGCTGAGGATGTGGCTTAGTGGTCCTGATTTCAATCCTCGGTACCCCCCCCAAAAAATAAATAAATAAATAAATACAAAATAGGGCTGGGGATGTGACTCAGAGGTCGAGTGCCCCTGACTTCAATCCCTGGTACCTCCCAAAATAATAATAATAATAATAAAAATAAAAAGAATATGAATAAGAAAAAATACAACTTATTGGATTGGTTCTACAATTCTGTGCTTTGTTTTTTTTCTATGTAATTTTTTTTTTAAAATATTTATTTATTAGTTCTTGGTGGTTTTGTATGTGGTGCTGAGGATCGAACCCGGGCCGCACGCATGCCAGGCGAGCGTGCTACCACTTGAGCCACATCCCCAGCCCCATGTTTTTTTCTATGTAATTTTACGAGAATGCAGATTTACCCATGACACTGCAAACTTACTGTAAGGGTCATTATTTCAATACATTTAACCAGTCCCCTAACGGTTGCCTACTTAACTCCTTTATATCTTCTTATAAACACTACTGCAATGAACATCTGAGTACATAAAACATTGCCAAATGGAGGCTTATTTCTTGAATATAAATTTATTATTAGATTATAAGCTGCAAAAGAGCAAAAGGCCCAGAATCTCTTGGACAGAGAGAAAAGAAAGAGAGAGAGAGAGAGAGAGAGAGAGAGAGAGAGGTGTAGTGAGAAGAATCAATAACAAATCACTGAATGCAAGACAAGAAGAGCTTATAACCATTAATATATATATAGATAGATAGATAGATAGATAGATATAGATATAGATATAGATATAGATATAGATATATAGATATAGATATATTGATGAGCTGTTCTCCACAGGATTGTTTTAATAATTCTCCAGGAGTAATATGTGCTGTGAGTGTCTATTTCAGCATAGCTCTGCCTGCAGAGGGTATTAGTATTTCCTGACCCCTTTTAACTCAACAGACAATAGAGAAGGAATTCACGGGTATAATTGGTATACTACTGAGGTTGCATGTATTTCTCTGCACCAAACACCTGAAGGCAAATTCATATTCCAGGAAAGATCCTCACCTGTGATGGGCAGGACAACAAAGTTCCTGGCCACTGGATGGCACATCCAGCAGTCAGCAGCAGTGACCCAGACAGAGACGGGGAACTCCCCAGGCACGTTGCCCACCACGCGGATGGTCGAGCTGAGATCGCTCTCCATCTTGCCAGTGAGCACAAGTGGGGTGTGGATCCAGTGGAAGCGGTAGAGATGGGCATCAGTGGGCAGTGCCAGGCTGCCATTGTCCTTGGCCACCAGGCTGGCTGAGATGGTCACCTCTGCTCCTGTAGTGGCAGGCCCGTCGGTGGTCAGATTGAGTTCATACATGCCTAGGAGCCAAGAAACAGATTATGGAGGTAGGCAAAGGAGCCCCTCAGCTACCTTTGGGAGGGCATCCATGCTCGCAAAGTGGAACCCCGCTATTTGCAGGGGACATATTCCAGATCTGCCAGTGGATGTCAGAAACTGAAGACAGAACCAAACCCCACAAATGCTTTCTCCCCCCACCACCATTCATACATACCTATGATAAACCAATGCATAAATTACACACAACAAGAGATTAGCAATAGAAATTAACAATAGAGTAGAATTAACCAGGGACAGTGGTGCACACCTGTAATCCCAGCCACTTGGGGGCCGAGTCAGGAGGATCACAAATTTGAGGCCAGCCTGGTCAACCTCACAAGACCCTGTCTCATGGCCAGGCATGGTGGCACATACCTGTAAACCCAGAGGCTCAGCAATTGTGCAAGGCCCTAAGCAACTCAGTGAGATCCTGCCTCTACATAAAATATAAAAAAGGGCTGGGGATGTGCCTCAGTAGTTAAACGCCTCTGGATTCAATCCCCAGTACCAAAAAACAAAACAAAACCCTGGGTTCAATACCCAGTACCACATACACGCACAGAACTTTTTATATATATTTTAGTTGTAGATGGACACGATACCTTTATTTAATTTATTTATTTTTATGTGGTGCTGGGGATCGAACCCAGGGCTTCACACATGCAAGGCGAGCGCTCTACCACTGAGCCACCACCCCATTCCACACACACAAACAGAATTTTAACAACATACTAAAAGTTATATGAATGTGGCCTCTCTGCTCTCAAAATATACTGTCCTTACCTTTCTTGTGATAATGTGAGATGACGCGATGCCTATTTGAATGTCATCATGACATAGGATCAGGCTACTGTTGATCTGATGATCATCTCATAGGAAGGAGGGTTATTGAAAAACGACCATGCAGGAGAACGTCAGAGGACTGAAACCTTGGAAAGCGGAACCAGGGATAAGGGGGACTACTGCATTTTATTTTACAGGTGGGAAACCTGAGGCTTAGGCGGCTCAAATGACTTGCCTGATCCAGCACATTCATTGTCAAACTGGAATTCAAAGCCAGGTCCAACTGACTCCAAATCCCAGGCTTTTTACAGCATCTCCAAGTTCATTTTCCTTTCGTGCCAATCAAGGGCTTACAAAGCATGTGGATGGCTCAGCCCAACCAGGGCAGACTTATTATACCTACAAAGTGACTGCCACTGCTTGTCACAGGAGGGGCCAGCACAGCTGCCCCTGTAGAATAACTGCTGCCAAGAGATGCCTGCATTTTGCCAGCCGCAGTGGTGCACACCTGAAATTCCAGTGGCTGAGGAGTCTGAGGCAGGAGGATCCCAACTTCAAAGCCAGCCTCAGCAAAAGCAAATGCTAAGCAACTCAGTGAGACCCTGTCTTTAAATAAAACACAAAACAGGGCTGGGGGCGTGGCTCAGTGGTCCAGTGCCTCTGAGTTCAATTCCTGATACCCTCCCCCCACCCCCCAAAAATGCCTACATTTCCATTCTTTGGACACACTTTAACGTTGAACAAAATTCAAATTTGGAAAACAAAGTTGAGTGAAATTCATGGGCATTGTCCCGAGTCATTTTTCTTCATGTATTTTAGACAGTTGCAGAATATTTTATATAAACAGGTAAGATATTCAAAGTAAGCTTTGCCTCCATCATAAAAATAATGCATAGGCATCAAGAATAATAGACATGTCCCATTATTTATCCTGCCTCCCAGAGACAATAGCTGTTGTCACACTGTTGTCCTCACGTATCTTTCTCACGCATGGAAGTTTTTCCGGTCATAATCACTCTGCATGTAATTTTGAATTCTTTTATTTTCACAGGATAGTATATCCAAAGCATGTCCGTGGTGGCAGTAATCTCAATTTCAATATTTGCATGATTATTCCTCCTGCAGGTTTTATTTTACTTCACACCACCTCACTCTTACCAATAGTGCTATTGGACATTTGGATGGAGTTTAAATTATTCAAATTTGATTGCTTAAATTTAGTTAAAACTAAGAGTTCAGTTTTTTAGTCACACCAGCCACATTCCAAGCGCTTACCCGTCATCTGTGGTTACTGGCCACTCTCAGCTCAGGTACAGGTATCCTTGGCCAAACTTCTCCTGGCCAGCCCTGGCCTCATCCCTGTAGCTTCTCTCCCCTCACTCTCCTGGGGGAGGAGGGGCCAGCTATCCCTAGAATGGATCCCAGGTCTTTGCCATTCAAGCTCCTCCCATCTGGCACATTCCTGGCCTCTCCATCCCTACTCCATCCCATTGCTTAAGGCTGGCATGCAGCCCTGTCTGGATTCCTGCTCCACCCTGGTCCCTGGTCCCTAGCGTCCAGGACCACCCCAGTGACAGTTTCCTGCACAATCTGACCACATGCTCACAGGCTAGCCTCAGCATGGCTCCAGATTCACATCTTGGAACATCTGTACTGTGGCACTTTAATTTTTGCAAACACCCCTCCCCCCCTACACACACACAGATGGACACGACATCTTCCAGGAAGCCTTTGTGTACCCTTGGGCCCCAGCACTCTCTGGGCAGCCTGAGCTTATCGCTGTCACACACCATAATGAATGAAGGTTCCTTCTTCTCCCCCAGTGTACTTAGAACTCCTTGAGAGCAGGGGTCATCCCCAACTCCTCCGTGCTCAGCAAAGTACTGACTGAGTAGGTACGACACAGGGACCAGCCCACCTGGCACTGCCCCCAAGGACTGTTCATCCAGGTGCTACCAATTGAGCCCCTTCTTTGTATGCTACCTCCGAAGGTGCTGGGAGGACCCAGAAATGCAGGACATGTGCCTGGCCTGGGGGAAATCACCCCCGTTGGTCTCTCAGCAAAACTGGGAGGTGAGTTTGTTTTCAACTGTGCCCCAGTCACTCCCATAGCAACTTTACCTGCCTCCACTGGGGACTTTGGCTCCAACCTCTCCTCTCACCCAAGTCCCACATTCCCTTTTCGAGTCTCTTTCCTTCAGGGCCATTTCTTGAATGACAAAGGCACTGGAGTCAAGATGCCAAGGTCAAGTCCAAGGAAATTCTGGCACTGAAAAGGAGACCAGTATTGTCTTAACCCCAAAGAGAGAATTCCAAGCATGGTGGTGGAAACTTACCCAAGAAAATACAGTGTGAATATTACACTGAGGATCAGAGGTCTTCGAGAGCTACTCTGCTGCCCAGGACCACCCAGCAAATCCACACCCCAGGGCTGGGCTCCAGTCTCCCTCTCTCTAGCTGGAGGCAGCCAGGCCCAGTGGTGCAGAGGGAGCTCAGATGGGAGGCCACCTCCTTCCTTCTCCCTCTGGCTCCTGCCACCCCCCATCTTTTGCCTGAGAAGCACAGACTAGGGAGAGACTGACAGGTGGCAGGGACATTCTGCTGCATGCTAATGGCCATCCTGCGTCTGCAGTGAGATGGGTGCCTGTCAGCACACTACGCAGATCCATTGCCACCGCAACGGAATCAGGAGGGCAGCCGGCTGGGACTGGGAGGAGGGGGGGGGCAGGGAGGGGCTGTAGCCACTGCAGACATGGATGCAAACACTGGCTTAACTCACAGCAGCCCCCACCATCTCTGCCAGGGCTTTTGGAGGTGTCTGTTGAAGGCTGAGCCAAGCACAGTTGAAGGAAACCAAGCCCAGGGGCTGCTGCTTGACCTATCCAAATCCATCTTTTCTGGTTTGAGTACAGAACTGCCAGGAGAGGGCTTGGGATTGACACTAGTTCCCAGGTGATCCATGGCTAAAGTGACCAAAGCAAAAATGAAAGCGGCAACTGCCCCCAAAGCTGGGCCCTGGAAGAAATCCTCACCCACCAGCTATCCAGGGCCTCCACTTGGGGGGTGTGCATTTTCCCACAATACAGCATGTGGGGCCCCAGAACATTCCAGAAAATGGCTATATCTGCCCTTTCACAGATCACACGTAGACAAGCCAAAATACCTCCCTAAGACCAATAACCTGTCATGATTACCAGTCCAATACATGGACTTCTGATGCATAAATCCTAGTTTGGATGCATCCATCAAGCTGATCTCTAATGGGTGGAGGAGAAAGTACGTTCCCCAGCTCCAGCCTCAGCTACTGTTAATTTTGACTCTATCAAGGATGCAATTGGCCAGCCTAGGAACCATATGTATTTCCAAATAATTTATTTTATTTTTGTATCAAAATTCATTTTATTTTTTTAAAAAAAATGTGTCCAATTTCTAGACACATGTAGCCCAAGTGGATAAGAGACTCGATTTCTGTATGAATTTCCAAGGGGAAGCAAGTGATCCTGTCCAAGCACAGTTTCCCCAAATTGTCCTAATTCATGCCTAAGACGCAGGTTCTTCTTACCTTTTGGCTTTTCTTCTACAAATGCGCATTAGATTCCTTCCTCTCCCTACCACTCTTTTATGGGTAAGGGCTACTGAAAAATCTTGGTATTCCATTTGTGGCGCCCTACCCCCATAGCTGCCCACGTTCCACCTGTCTCTCAGTTCTCCAATCTGGGTCCTTTTATTGATTTCACAATGTGTTGGAAGGTTGGTGCTGGCCTCTGGATGGTGGGCCCCGAAGGAACCTGTCAGCTGGGGGTCCATTTTAGAAATCACTCCCAGTTAGGAAATGGCAGACTGGCCTCCTGGGCTCTAAAATATCATCCCTTTACCCACAAAGCCAACCCAAGCAAGGTGAAAACCTCCCTAGATCAAGGTGGCATCTTAAGGGAAAGACGCAGCCCTGTGGGCAATCTGTCGGTGCTCCCTGGGGTGCTGTGGCGCAAGGACCGCCCGGGCCCACCCGGGCCCACCCCGGCCCACCGGGGCCCACTCCGGGCTCCCGGCATCGTCCTCCGCTCCCCCTCGCTCAGTGACGCCCGGGGATGGATGGAAGCGCCGGCCACAGCGAGCGCTTCTCAGGGCAGGCCGACCTGAGGGTGAAAGCAAGAATTGAGGGGCGCGGGGAGTCCCGTCAAGTGCCCGGGAGACTTCTGGGGAGAGGGGACAAGGGAGAGAGGGGAGAGAGTCCGGCGCCCTACCGGCCTAGACTCCCAGACAGCAGCGGTGGCCTCGAGGGAGGAGGGAGGAGCGCGCAGGGCGCACGGCACCACCTCCGCAGCCCAGGCTCGGGCAGCCGGCCCGCTAGGGACCGCCCCGAGCCCCGGGCGACCTGCGGCTGCGGGGACAGGGACGTCCGGGCCAGCTCCTTACCTGCCGCCACCCTCACTGGGGCTAAAGGCAGGAGGCAAGCGAGCCAGAGGATGCGACCGACGTGAGACCAGACCACGGGGGCCATGGCGAGGCCTGGCGCTGCAGGAGCGCGGAGGGGACGAGGAGGGAGCCGGGCTCGAGCTCGGTAGCCGCTCCTCTGGGCGCGCGTCACGGGCTGTGCTGAGAGGTGCGGGCGCCGCGCTCGCTCGTCTTCGCCTCGGGACGCTGTGTCGCTGCGCGCCACCGCCCATCCGCCGCGCGACCCCGGCCCCCGTCTGCCTGTCCTCGGCGCCGCGCCCCCTCCCCGCGTCCTTCCCCACGGCGGCGCCCCGGCCTCCCCGCGTCCTCGCCCCTCCCCAGTCGGCTCGCGGCAACCCTCCCTCCCTGTCCTCTCGCCGCATCCTCTCCTCCCGAGTCCGCGCCCCCGCACTCTGACTCAGCGTCCCCAGAGGCGCGCACCGCGCAGCAAAGCCGCGCGCAGGCCCCGCGGGCCTCCCCAAGAGCCTACCTACCGCACATTCGCCTTTGGAGAGATCGTTCTTCATTCAGAAAACGTCGCCTGCTGCTTGTCAGCGCTGGGCACAGGGCCTGGAACCGCCTGGAACTCCTCTTGAGAGAGGGGCCTGAGCGCACAGACCCTGCATCTGGTCTAGTACCCCCTCTTTGCTCCTATTGTAAAGCGGGGCTCATGCCTACCTGGATCTCCCATCACTTCGTTGTCATTGAAAGCCTTGCGAGGGTCCGACATGCACCATATAAGGTGACCACGACCTATGCTCTTGAAGCCTAAGTAGGTGCTTCCCTCTACCATCACAGGGCAGAACAAATCTCCTGGGAGCTGCCTGGGGCTTGACAGGCCCGTGGTCTCAGCTGTGCCTCTACCTTGCTGTAGATCCCTACACTTGACAAGAGATCCCTACACACAGTGAAGTGAGTGGATAGCCTCCCAGGCCCAGCAGGCACCGATGGATAATCATTGCATGATCCTCTGCCTTGGCATCAAGGCATACAAAGGGCCATCTCTGGAACAGCTGTGGGCTCCGCTGAGGATGGACCCCCATCTCAGAGGGATGGAGGGGGTACAAACTTGAGGAAGCCCCATTAGAAAATGTCAAAATTGTTAGATGTCACTCCTCTGTACCATTAATGGCCACACTGGTGGCAAACATCAAGCCTAGGAATCAGGAGACTTTGGGTTCTCCCTGGGGTTGGATGATCTTGGAAAAGTCACTTTCCTCTCTGTACCTCAGTCTCTTTTTTCTTTAAATTAGGGATAGTCATAGTGTTGACCCCTATGAGAGTGTTGTAAGGCAAAACACAGAACAGTGCTTAGGAACACAGTAAGCATCCAATTAGTATTGGCTGTCATCCTCAGAATTGCTTAAGGGCTTGGGAGAGTTTCATTTATTCATCAGGAATTTGAAGGGATTGAGAAGGAAATAAAGGTAAGGCTACAGTTTCAGATATTTAAAACTAACATGATACAAAGGTCTGGTTGTGACTTTTAAAGTATACTAAACAGAATAAGATTTATTGTTTTATATATATGTAACTTTAATAATTCTACAGTGGCCACCTTCAAGGCCACCCTGAAGCTGAAATTGAAGCAACCCTTTGTTTAACTCCCTGTTTGCCAGTATTTTCCACAGGCATCTCTCTGGGCTCTCTCAGGACCTGTTTGTTCCACCTCATACAAGCTGCACAGTTAGCTTCTTCTCCAGGCCTGCAGGGGGAGTCTGTGGAGAAAGGACAGGAAGTCCTCTCAGAGAGCCAGTCTTTCAACTTTTAAATGTAGTTGTCTAGAAATATAGTCACACGTCATTTTAAATTTTGTAGTAGCCGCATTTTAAAAAGAACAAAAAAGGTGAAATTAATGCTATTGCTATATTTTATTTTATTCAATATATACAAAATATCATTTCAAGGTGGATACAGTGGCGCTTGCCTGGAATCACTGACCTATCTATGCATCTTCCTGCCCCACCCCTTTGAGATGGTGTCTTGCTATGTTGTCCAGGAAAGTCTCAAACTCCTGAGCTCAGGTGATCCTCCTGCCTCAGCCTCTTGCACCACCACAACAGGCTTTGAAAGCACAGTTCTAAACTGTCTGAATACAAATGCATCTTGCTAACCTAAGAGTCATAGCCCCATCCCCACCCTGCACAGGCCATATTTATATCCTGTGAGGGTGAATTTGTCCCTCCTTGCAGCATTCTTGCCTACGTTTAGAGCATGTGTCTGTATGCCTAATGGTTATAGTTTGGTGCCAAGTAGATGCTTGCTGAATAGCTGAAAGCAAAAGCTGATGCTCCTTTTGCTCATCTCCCAAAGCCTTGAGCATGACCCAGTGAAAGTTCATTTGGATGACCATGAGAGTCTCCCACATGCTGGCCCCTTTGGTTTTCTATGCTGAGACCATCTCATATGACCCCCACGGTGACACACAGGTGGGATATCCTCTTCCCTGGCAAAGTGAGCATTGATCAGAACAGACACTGATAGCAAACTTAATGGGGGACCCCTGGGGTCTGACATCCACAACAGCAATCACAGACCCCTGGACAGACTAGAGGTTATGGGCAGTAAAACCTCATTCCCTTGGGTCTGGGTAGCTGTGGCCTGTTTTGACTCATTAAAATTTCTGGGTTATGGAAAGTTCTTTGACTTCTTTGATGTCAATTCCTCCTTCTTTCAATTAGCAGAGTTTATTTGAGCAGATAATGATTCAAAATTGGGAATCACTTAGTATGAGGAGAGGTTTGGAGAACTCCATCCAGGAATGTGGTCAGGCAGTACTTACAAACAGAAAAAAAAGAAGTGTGTCCAGAAATCGCTTCACAGGTTACAGTCAAGCATTTTGTAGAAAGTAGATTTCTATAAATTGTTCAACATTTTAAAATATTTCCCCCTTTCACACAGTGAGAGACTCACATATGTACTCACACATATCTCTTAGCTTGTCTCCACTATCTCCCAGCAATAAGTACAGAGGACATTTTAGACAAATATTTGGAAGTTTTATATCCAGAGTGAGGATGGCAATTCTTGTTGATGAGAATCTTCCTGAAGAAGGTTACTTACAGTCTGTTGGTTCTAGTGAGCTGCTATAACTCACCTTTGATATTGGAAGAACAGTAGCCCTAGGGTTCACATTCCTAACAAATCCTCATTGTCCTCTCCTGGAAATGTAGCTGTGGGAGGTGGGGGCCAGTGCACTGGTGACAATGACCCCAGATCAGCTCCTGAGGGATGCTTTTGGAGCTAATCTGATAACAGCTTGGAATGGGGTTCCAGGAGATTTCTTTGTTAAATTTAGCATGGTTTTAGGTCTGAGCCTCAGCTCTCCCATGGCAGCTGGACTTGTCAGATCTCAGGCCACCCAGTTACACTGTTGAAACCCATAAGAAGGACTGGGGATATAACTCAGTTGATAAGAGTGCTTGGTTTGCATGCACAAGGCCCTGGGTATGATCCCAGCACCAAATAAAAAAAAAAAGAAAGAAAGAAAGAAACCCCTAAGAGATCTTTGGAGGACAGGGTGCTGGAATATGAATTCATCACAGTGCAAAGTTCTTTGCAGAGGTGAACCTCAAAATGGCCAGCCTCCAGGAAACCAAACATGTAAGGCAAAGGTAACAGGAGACTCCAGCAGGGTTCAGGCAATTGAACCCAGGGGTGCTTTACCATTGATCTACATCTGCAGTCCTTTTAATTTTTTTTTTATTTTGAGAAAGGGTCTTGCCAATTTGCTGAGGCTGGCTTTGAACTCGTGATCATCTTGCCTCCTAAATTGCCGGGATTATAGGAATGCACCACTGCCCCTAGCTGAGTGGCTCTTAAAAATGTGGGCAGGGGCTATTGCTCTGACTCACTCCACCGTAGAGACCATCTGTGCAGATTGTGCCCACTGCAGTAGATATTTGGGGGCTCCTGAAATTCTTTTTTTCTTTTTTTGTGGAGTTGGGGCTTGAGCCCAGGACCTTGCGAATGCTAGGCAAGTGCTTTGCAGGTATAGTGAGTTCTGCTCCCTGCCTCTTGATTTCTTCTTTTTAATGCTTCAGTTGATCCCTGCCCTGTAGAGGGTATCGTTCCAGACAGGGACCACATTTGCTTACTAAATGTGAGTTTGGATCTCTACTGTCTTTCTAAGGCCCATGTATTAAAGGTCTGGTCCCCAGCATGGTGACATTGGGAAGTTGTGGGGACACTTTAAGAGGTGGGGCCTATGGCTCTGATCTACATATTGTGGGGTCGGGCTCCAAATTCCTTAATAGGACACCCATAGCACAAGAGTTAATAACAAGAATCAACAAATGGGACTTACTTAAACTAAAAAGTTTTTTCTCAGCAAGAGAAACAATAAGAGAGGTAAACAGGGAGCCTACATCATGGGAACAAATTTTTACTCCTCACACTTCAGATAGAGCCCTAATATCCAGAGTATACAAAGAA